CTTGTTCGGTTGGGGCTTGAGGAAGAAGATGCGGCGGAACAAGGCAAAATGCGGCCTGATGCCCAAAAAAGCCTCGCAGGCGTGAATAAAGTTGGCAATGTGAACTATGGAGTTCGGGTTTAAGTGATGCAGGCTAATCCCATAGAAATTCAGAATTCCCCGGAAGAATCTTGAGGTTGGAAGGGAAAATCCGCCATAGAAGAAATGAGAGAATACCATGACTTCATGCGTGTCAGGGGTCGGGAACGCTTCGCCGAATGCTGGGCGCCACCCAATGATTTCCTTCGCTGGAAGAACGCCGTGCACCACCATTTCCTTCAAGTTTTCCTCTGTTACATCGAAGGGTGCCCATTGGCTCTCGAAGCTTTCTCTCTCCTCCGCCATGGATGCGAATTGGGTGATGCGATTTGCTTTGGAAATGGCTGAGAGTGGATGAGGGATCGGTGCAGTGGTTGCGCGGAAGGTTTTTGCGGACTTTTGGAGGATGGATTGGAGCAGATTGCTGAACCCTAGCTTCGCCGGCGCAGTTTTGCACTGTAGCGAGAAATGGGGAAAGTGGCGAGAGTCTCGGCGGGGAAGACAAAGAGGCGTTTTATTTCTTTTTGGCGTTATTAGGGTATCAGAAGTACTAATGGGCTTGGGCCTAAAACAGTACTTCAGCCCAATTCTATTATCAGCATGGCCCGTTGTGATCCCTAGGGACTTAGGCATTTTTGCTTTAGCAATTTGTGCTCACAATGGTGTGGCCCAATGCTGTTAAAATCCTTTTTAATACAGTTAGATGATTCTTTGGAATCACTACGATGCGAACAAAAAGTTACTCAACAGAAAAGTGTTATACTATTTTTGTAAGCTTTTTTAGGCTGCAAAAGCTGTTTGGGTTGATTCGAGATGACTAGTTTTCTAACGGTCATTCTCTTGGCATGTTGTATGCTTATTTTGATTATGGTGAGGGTCATAGCCTAGGCTATTTAGACTCATTATTCTTATCATATTTGGTGGATCATCTTAAGAGTTTTTACGCCGATTCTTGTCAAATATGTTTATTTATGGACCTTTTGGAGTGTTTTTCACTCGGGTTTTTCTTTATGTCCTTTTGGTGTGTTAAAGCTAAAGTAGTCGGTTGGATGTTTTATTAAACGCCGCGTATGCTTTGCTATATGATGTTCGGTTGTAGAACCACTCGGTTCTTGACTATATGTTTAGTTTTTTAACTAACCATATAGTCGGGGGCTATACCTAATTAGGTGCATCTACTCGATGCACCCGGTTTTATTTCTTTTTCGCCCTTCACAGTCTTTGATTTTAGTACTCGGGAAGCCAGAGCAGAAGGAATTGAAGCACTCGGATTATTGCTTTATGTTCCAAGAGAAGGCTATTTCGTCGACTGTAAAGGTCTCGTGGGCTACTGTGGAGATTATGGATACCCCATATCTACACGGCATGTATAGTCCGACTGGGTATGGGGTACCAGATATAGATAGAATATCTTTAAGAGAACTCGGGTTAGGTTCTAAACTTGTATGTCAAGGAAATATCCGGGATCCTAGTCGGTTACGATTGTATTTTATCTGTAATCACATATTCCGTTAGGGATATGGATTTTATTTTGTAATACGGACCCCTTCCCTATATAAGGAGGGGTCCAGGTCCCTTTAGGGACATGATTTTCTCCCAGATCATACGATCAATAATACACTCGGCGGATCAATCCCCGGACAGGAGTAGGGTATTACTTCTTGATTAAGAAGGCCTGAACCTGTATAAAATTCCTTGTCCGTAAACCCATCCACTTTTCCAACTTGATAGCCACCTCCTTTTAGTATTGCCGAAATCTTGTTTCGACTTAGCTGAAGGGAATCGTTTTGCTATTTATTTTGTCTCAATTAAGTAGTGTTGGTGCGCGCGCTAGTTAGTACTCCCTCTGTCCAAAAAAAAAAGACAAACCCTGGTTTCCGTGTCCAACGTGACCGTCCGTCTTATTTAAAAAAATTATGAAAAAAATTAAAAAGATAAGTCACGCATAAAGTATTAATCATGTTTTATCATCTAACAACAATAAAAATACTAATTATAAAAAAATTTCTTATAAGACAGACAGTCAAACGTTGGCATGAAAATCCATGGTTTGCCTTTTTTTTTTTTTGGACGGAGGGAGTGCTACAAGTGATCCGACAACATTCCATTTCGTACATATCTATTTTGTTTGAAGGCTTCACGCACGTCCGGCTCTACTACCTAGCTCGCAGCTCAAATGATTAGTTGTTAGCTGTTCGGTCTACTGAAGCGAGGTGCCCTTCAGATTCCTCCAGGGAGCTAGCTACCAAAGGTCACGGAGCACCATACACTCGTCCAGCAGTTTTGGCGAAGAATAGTGGAGAGGAGCTAGTAAATTTTGACCATGAATACATCTAGGATTTCGACCATGAGTGCATATCTAGTATGTTTGAAGAGTGCAAAATTAGATGGGGGAGGCAGGTATGTTTTGGATGGTGTATAAGTCATGGAATTTGTGGGCTTTATGGATTTATCACTACCATTGGTATTCTCTTTGCATGCGCATAAAATAAAATGCATATTCAGCCTTCCTACACCTTCCCCCCTCGTTGTCGCCTAACATCAACTGGGTCCGACAATCTTAAGCTCGAAGTAACCATATCTAGCTTCCCACGCTTCTCCTCTCTCACGATCGATCATCCATATATTTGTGCTTAGAGCCACTATTTAGAGTTCAAGAAAAACGTACAGTAAAAGAAACCTTTTTGGTTTTTTTAACAAAACACACTGTTTAGTACTCCCTCCATCCTAAAATAAAAAGACATAACCACAAAACACATACTCACTCCATCCTAAAATATAAGAAATAACCACTTATAACACAAAGAACAAGAAACATTTAATCATTTTCTTGATTGGATCACCTTGATGCATACAAGTAATGCAATTGGAAGGTTTAATGATATAAGATTTAAAACAAATCAATTTTATAGACCTTTTCTCATCCGGACGAACATGACTCAAGCTGGTCATAGAACGTGAAGTTGATGATTGGACACTAATATCAACATCAAGGAATTAAGATGAGCTAACGAAATCAAATTAACCACGCATATACATCTGCGACAATGAAGCCCGAACAATCCGAATTTAACCCGATCCATAAACATATTGCAGGGAGCTAGGTGCCTAGCCATACCGATGCCGGAGCCTGACGGCCGGCCGGGCTAGTGCTGGCATTGGTAGATGTTCTGGCAGCCGTGGGAGTACGGGCCACCGGGCGCCGGGCAGTTGGGGTTGCACGCGGCTTTGTTCCCGTTGAGCGGGTCGTAGGCGAAGGCATGGAAGAACGCCAGCTGCAGCAGCAGGAGGAGGAAGACGACGACGATGCGGTGAGCTGCCGCGGCGGCTCCGGCGCTGGTTGTGCCTTGCTTCAGTACCATTGGTGCTAGCTAAGTAGCTAGTATCGATGGTAGCTTCGTCGTCGCAGCCTGAAAATTTTCTTTCGATTGCTAGAAGATTTGTGTCGTGAGATGAGACTCTGAAATGATGCTATATCTGTATGATGATTGCCCATACTGTGGCCATTATATATACATGCATACGGAATTACATATAAGTACTGGATGGGACTTCTGGCCTAACCAATGAAGTTTGGTGTTTAACAAATTGGTCTTTGCATGTTGTGTGCATAATTGAATTTGGATCGATCCTTTTATTGTACTAGTTGGCACCCCACGCATTGTCGTGGGTTTTGTAATTCTATTGTTAAACAAAATCGAAGTTTTAAATGGTTAGATGCAACTATATGTATATATAAAATACATGTAAGTGTGGCTTTATATACACTCTATGTTATTACAATAATTTATTTATCAAAGTGTATTGTTATAATATATGAATATTATTTTCATGTGCAATATGGGTATCGTTGTAGTCAGATAGTTTGCACCTCTCTACTTCACTCAAGCTTGCTCTGAAAATGGGTTTAGGTAATGATACCTAATAATTATATGCTATCTAGTCATGCATAATAAAATAAACTCACATTCTAAACAATAATTTAAGTTGTATTCGAAAAAAAAATTAGCTTTATCTTCCAGTACTTGGAAGGGAAAAATACAATGTTATATACAACATATGTAATAACGCTATATGCGACTATGAGGTCAAGCAAAGGGAAGTGAATGGATAGCTAATAAATGATTGAATTAGATGGATAAGTAGCTTCTCGATGAAACGGTTATTATTTTTTACTAATGTGATTTGATAGTTTAAAATTATTGATGATGTGACTTCTTGTATGTTTTGGTTTATTGTAAATGTTTCTTCGTGGGTACCGATTATATAGAAAAATGGAGTAAGATATGATGTAGCACTGAGTTTCATGGAATAGTGTTCGACAATAATATACCAATGATGAAATGTGACTCTTGTGATCATCAGTTAGGTATACTAATTTAATATTTGCTGCATTTCAGTTACCTGAATTGTTTTCGAGTTTAAATTTCTTGTTACCTTAAATTGCTACTTATTAAGACCAAAATTACGAGTGGGTCAAACAAATCTTTGACATCCAGAATCCCTATTAATCCGTTAGTGGTACTGTCAAATCGGTCAAATCGGTACCTGTAACAGACGCTGCTGCATATACGAGCTTGGACTCCCATAACCCAGCTGCCGTCTCAGAGCCATTCAAGAAATGATCCTACCAAATTAAGCCTTTGTAACCCATTAATTTTTTGAAGAAGTGGTAGGAGTAGCATATAATATTTTGTCCATATAAAACCGCTGGATGTTGAATTAGACAGCACAACGACGCAAATGACATGTTATTCTCTTATAACTAAATAGGTTCAACTTGCCAGCACCGACATTTTTATATGCCGAAGTTTGGACAAGATTAACTTTACCGGGAACTTGAACCATCAATCTCAAAGCAACATCCCATTCCATCTCACGCATGAAAATTATCAAGCTAAATTCCATCTCACGCATGAAAATTATCAAGCTAAATTAAAGATTGATAGCTGGGAAGTTCTCAGATGTAAAATTAAAGATTGATAGCTGGGAAGTTCTCAGATGTTCCAGACATGGTTCACATCAAACTCACTTAAACAGAACCAGTACAGAAACATACTAGGAATCACATGATTGAAGCCTATTCCTTGTAAGGACCAAACACATCAGAAAGCCTTCATTCATTCATCACAGGCTTGTTCTCACTGGCCTTGGGCCTCTGCTCCTTTGGCTTTTGCTCTTCCATTTTCCTGTCACCCAAAACCAATAATAAGTTGGAGAAACAGCACAATAGAGCAGTAGTGCATGAAGGTTATAGCTCATGTGCACAGCTTGGATGCATAGGTTTGACACAACTGACTATAAATTCGAAACCTTGAGGCAGACAAGAAAGATACAAAGTTACTGGTTTCACAGCAAAATTATCTAACTTGGGTAAAGCTTCACACCTCCACCCAACTGCTTACTTAGTTTCAAACTCGAGTACTTGTCACTAAAAGCATTGAAGGGACATTATTTTCTTTCTAAATTCAGGTTGTTATAACCAAAAGTATTCAACAAAACTTATTTCTTTAAACTGTACCTTGCTCTTACCAAATTAAGCCTAGGACATTTCATTTCATGAAACTAAAACGACTCCACTTAAAAGGGCATGCAACACAAGGATATCCTACCAGCTTGCCATATATACATTAAAAGAGAGTAAGAGACACTTATACAGTTATCACCTACTACTATAAAAAATAAGCAGATCATACGATTTACTTGGCAATTAGTCACTGTGCCTCTAACAGTGGAAATATAACAGAGTATTTGGCCATAGCTGGAAAAGCAAAGAAGACTCTAAGGTGGGCAAAACTGAGAAGTGGCAAAAGATGGAAGTGAATCTTACTTAGTGCCAACAGACAAATTTTCCCATTGAAAAAGAAAAGTAATAAACTTTTTACCCTGATTTAGAATGCAGCTATGATCACATGGCCATTTGAGAGTATGAAATAAGCTTTCAATCTTAACTCAGAACACCATATAGGATTATACAGACATTTACGAATAGCAGGTGGCAATAAATTTAGCTGCTAAGGTGCTTTTGTTAACATTTGTCAAATGTAAACAGGTTTGATTAACTACTGTTAATCATGACATAATGCAAGAATAAGTTGCTGCAAAGATAGAAGTCCATTTGTTCAATTTTCATTTCCACGCGCAGCGCTTGCTGAGGACTACTCCTTGGCACAGGACAAGCTTCAAGGAACAAAAACACTCTAATTTTCTGCTCTCATCTTACTTCGATAAGGCATTTTTTTCCTTAAATAAACACCGCACACAAGCAATTGCACTAAAAATGGCTCTGTCAGACCAAATGGCCGCCACATATATATTCCATCCGATTATACAGAACACAATAAGTGCTACTTCCTCCGTTTCACAATGTAAGTCATTCTAGTATTTCCCACATTCATATTGATGCTAATGAATCTAGATTGATTTATATGTCTAGATTCATTAGCATCAATATGAATGTGGGAAATGCTAGAATGACTTATATTGTGAAACGGAGGAAGTACTTATCGATATTTAGAACTTCTCACCAACCCTACTCTAAGGTCTAAAGCAGATACTGTTAGCCCAATGAATACTCCTTATCAATTTTTAGAACCTTGCTCACCAACCCTTACTCTATCAATCTAAACCAGATTAATCCAGACAGAAAAACTATCTGAAACAACAAGCTCTGTCTGTCCTTAGAAACTTTTAGGCAAGAACAAGGATTTGATCACAAACTGGTAACGCTACAGTGAATCCCCTCGACGAGAATACCACCGCAAATCGCGACGGCGGTAACCGATCCGGAGGGCTTTAACCGCGCCGGTTATCTCCAAACAAACGCGTCCCGACGAGTCGGAACCGAGCCATTCGGGAGGGGGAACAGATCGAGAAGGCGTGGGAGGAGGGAGGAGACTCGTTACCTCTTGTCGGAGGAGGCGCCGCCCTTCTGGCTGAGGAAGGAGCGGAAGAGAGGGGAGTTCACGTCGTAGATCATCTTCGCCTTTGCTGCCGCCGCCGCCGCCGCCGGGGCAAGAGTCGCTAGGGTTTCACGGGGTGTCCGGATACTGGGGTAGAAGGGTGGAGATTATAAGCACGGGATGCTGCTTTCTGTATAAGAGCGGCCCTGGGTGGGCCCATGTAGACCCGTACTCTGGCCCATCATGGCCTTAATGAGACTGACCAGAAATTACTACGGAGTTCGCTTTACAATACAAAAGTCAAACTTTTGAAATCTCTATCGCTGTGCCTGATTGAATGAGGTTAAAATTTTGAGAAGCTAGCTGGTGAGACTGATTTCTAGTTTATTTTTTAAATTTTACAACTATAGATTCTCAGAATCTGAGTAAAAAGCTTGACTGTTTGGGAAGCTTCTGGCAACTGCTAAAAGCTCCCCCAAACAGACCCTCTATCTCTCCTCTATCTCTATCTTTATTATATCTCTATCTCTATCTCTACTATTATAAAAATTAAAAATATTTTTACCGGTATTTTGGTACGTCATCTGTGTATGAGTCGATTTTTAAGTTCGTTTTTCGCCGGTATTTTGGTACGTCATCTGCGTATGAGTTGGTTTTTAAGTTCGTTTGCTTTTGAAAATACATATGCGTATTTTAGTCGATTTTTAAGATTGTTCACTTTTTGGTATTACAGAAGGAAGACGATTGGACTCCTAACAGCAGTTCATGATTATATATATATATATATATATATATATATATATATATATATATATATATATATATATATATATAGCAATAATAAGATTAAAATAGACTTCACCCGTTCCAAACTCAATTTCATTTAAGAGGAAAATTGTCACGCCCGGAATTTCTAAACGCTTACATATGCGTTAAACCCTCGTCCAGGAATCAGCCGAGGCACACAATAACAAATTAATAATAGAGTACTATCAAACAGATATTTAATATTCGCAAAATAAATAATTATTACAAAGGTGGATAGTTTCTCTCAAAAGAAAAATAAAATTCTATGCAGCGGAAATAAACAATAGACTAAACAGCTATGGGGACTCCACTCCACAAGCAACTCGACCCGAACAAAGCCTAATCCTCCTGATCATCACCTTCACTGAAGTACTCCTCCTCTGATGAATGAATATTGTAAGAATGAGCATATGACATACTCAATAAGCCACACAGCAAATATGCAAGTGCACAGGATAACAAAGGATGGCATAATAAAGCTCATTTGCATAAACGGCATTTAATAAACATTTGAGAGAATAGTAAAACAGTGGAGTAATTTAAGCAATATTAAATAAACACCATACAACACACCCGTGTTGCATAGGCCCAACCACATTTGAACAACCAACCCCGGTTGTACAAACCAAACCTCCATACCAGGAATATACCATTCCAAACCAGGAGTCAATTTAATAATCACAGTATTATCATTATTAATGAGTAATGTGAGACTAATCACGAAAAATATTGTTAGACCCACCCTTAACCACGGGCACGGCTATTCGAATAGTTCTACTTTGGCCAGAGATGTACCACTGTACCCACAAGACACAACTCCACAACATGTCACCATGCGCCTCAGGAATTCTTCTATGGCGGCGACCCACAATATTCTCGACATAGGATTCGGATACACAATGAAACCTCACAAACTAGATGAACAACACATTGCCCGTGCAACGCACCTTTTCACTACGGATTCACAAAACCACATGCTTTGATAGGTTGATCCACTTGACTACGCAAAAGTGGATCTATTGCCCCCTCAATTCCCTGCAAGGAAAAGCAAGAACAATCTATGGCAGAACTCCCAATTCATCTCTCTAGTTTGGCGGCAGCAACACAAAACCTAGGAGAAGAACAAGAGCAATCATGCTGCAATTTTCATTAGAATAAACATGGTCTGACCTTGGCGGGTCATGTACAAAGGCATATATAACCATTTCATGGATTAGAAACTAACTAGGAATCAAATACAACATAGTATGGAAACTTTTCTGCAACACCGTCAGTTTGTTTCGGCTCTTGCGGTGGAACCAAAAGGTTTTTGTTTCCGTGGGCCTCTCCATCACATGGGACATGACGTTAGCTTTCTAACAAGTGCTCGCACATCCAAAACGGACTCCAAACGAGAGAGAAACAAGCATTTTAGTCCAGGTATATCCAGGCGGCCCAAACCAAGTCCAAACTGAATCTTTTCTTCCTTATCTTCAAACTCCTCATTTCAGAAGGCTTCAATTCATGGGGAACTTGTAGATGGATTCCATCCCAACCCAAGATGGGCATTAGGATAGTAGAACTCCATCCAAGCATTTCGTGCAAGGCCCATGTTCAACATCAATAGAGCTGCTCGTGCATCAATCAGTCTGCTTGTGCAACATGCCTTCAACTTGCAATTGTTGGTGATAGAGAACTCTGAATGATGTGCCTCTACCTCCTTCTGAACCCACATGCACGCCAATGGTTCATATATCTCATGTCTGATAAAGTGACAAATATTATGTAGCATCAAGTTCTCATATATTTCTCGGATAGACTTATGGAGAAACGAGTTCACCTTATTTTCTAATCCGCATGCACAAGTAATCCCCGCCATTTATCTTTCACATATTGTATACTCTCCGTATATATCCGCAGCAACCCACAGGAAATCTAGTTCCTTATATGATTAGACGCAAAGAAAAAAACTATAACCTATAATTATCTGCTTTGGGTATTGCATCCAAGATTAGAATGGCCAGGAACAGCCATCACACCTACAATTCCAATCATTTCAAACTAGTACCTACACATTCCAGAACAAACTTTGTATGTGCAAGCTATAAGACTAAACTGACAATAAATCCAAATTGACTCCAAAGTGTCCATCCTCAAATTTATTTTTGATAATGATCTCCATGACAAACTTGATATGCGCTCCAAGATTCATAGAACCCTAAAAAGGCAGTCAATCTCAGACAAACAACCTTGAAATTTCTAACTTTCACTGGTGGAAAAACCATCTTTGGTCGGTGTAACGCCCCGATTTTCGTTCGGAATAAAAATCAATTAATAATGCATTTTCTAGAAATTAAATAAAAGTTAAATCAACTTAATCAAGTGAATTATTGGGAGAATTAAAATTTTCCCTTTAAAAATCATTGGCCGGGAATATTTTGTAATATTCTTTGTGCCCTAATGTACTCTCCGGAATTTTCCGTGAATTTTCGGAGCTCGAGAAATAGTTTTAATAGCACAAAGATCATTGCATCAATTAAAATAAAAAGAAAACAAATAAAATCCTCCTTCCTCTCTTTGGGCCATTTTCGGCCCAAATACCTCCCCCTCCTTCCTCTCCCGCGGCCCGCGCGCCTCCTCCCTCTCTCGGGCCGGCTCCCTTCTCCCCTGGCCCGCTCGCAAAAGTCTATTTTGCGTCCCTCCTTCTCTCCCTTCGCCGACAGGTGGGACCGGCGGTCCCACCCGTCAGCTCCTCCTCCTACCTCTCGCCGGCCAACCCCAACCGCCATTGCCGTCCACGTCGCCACAAAATCCAGTGCCCTCCCGCACCCGAGCTCGCATCCAACGACGTGGGCACGATCGCCTCCACGTCCTCCACCATTTTCCCCGCTCGTCCCACAAAAACCGGCGCCGGCCGAGCCGCCATCACCCCACGTCGGCATCCCACTTCCCCGGCGGTTGCCGCCCCGACTCCGCCTCTCCCGGGCTCGATTCGGCCTCCCCTCCCCTATAAAAACATTCCCCGCACCTCCCTCTCCCTTTTCCCCTCTCTCCCGAGCCCTCCCGTGCACGAAAACCACCCCGCCACCGTCGCACCTCCTGCCGCCGCTCGTCGGCGATCTCCAGCCGCGCGTCGCCGCTGCTCCCGCCGTCGCCGCGCCTCACCACGTGTGCCATCAGCTTCGCCATCCCGCGCCGCATGCCGGCCTCCACTCGGTTTCCTTCAACCGCCATCGGAACCACCTCCCCACCGTGTAACCTCTCTCCGCCGCTTGCCGCCGAACTCCGGCCGCCTCTCCTCGCCACGCTAGCCACCGCCAAGCCGCGCCACCGCCACAGTCGGCTTCGCCGCTCCAAGCCGAGCACCAGCCACCGCCTCGTTCCTCTAATCCACCACCGAGCCGCCCTCCCCACTACCAACCAGAGCCACCGTCGCCATTTCCGCCTCCGGCCGCGCCGCACCGCCTCTTCAGTCCGCCCCGTGTTGTGCCGTCGCCCTCTGCGGTACCGCAGCCATCATTCGTGGCTCAGCAATCCCTCCGTGTTCGCCGGTCGTCGCCGGACTCATCTCCCCGTGCCTCCCGGTGAGCTCCGTCGTCATTTCGGTCGGCGTTTCCCGCCACACTGCAACTCCCTACCCTCTCCTAACCTCTTCATTTCCTTCCCTAGGTCCCTCCAACCATCGGCCGCCGGTTCCTGCTCACGGAACGCCGCCGAACCGCCGTCGCCGTTGCCTCCCCGAGGAGCGCCGCCGCCTCTTCCCGCCGCCGGCGACCTCCCGCTCTGCCTCGTTGGCCCGCATGCTCAGTGAGCCCCTCCTCCCGCTCCCCTTCCCTTTCGCGTGCATCGCCACTGCCCGTGAGCGCCGCCGTCTTCCGGCTGCTCGCCGCCGTTCGGCGCCGCCGGCTGCTGCCTCCAGAGGCCGCACGCTGCCCAGCACCATGGCTCGGCCGTGTCCATGCCCCAGCCGTGCCGCCTCGTGGCCGTCCGATCGGCTTTGGGCCGATCCGGGCCGTCGGTTCCCGTGGACCGGCGGTGGACCGCCTCGGTGGTCCCTGTCCACGGTGGACCGGCGCTCTTATGCCGCTGACCGGTGGGCCCCGCATGTCGGCGCCGGCCGCCCCTTTGCTGACGTCAGCGAGGACCATTTCCTTTGTAAAAATAAATAATAATTGCGCAATAAATCGAGTTTAATTCTAGAAATTCATTTAAACGGCTCAAAACTTCTAAAATTCATATCTAATTCATTCGAACTCCGAATTGAGCCATTCAACTTGAAAAATTCATCTAAAATTGAGCTCTACATGTTTGTTTAGTTTTTATGTACTGTTTCCTTGGTTTTTATTAGAGTTTTTCCTCGTTTTGCGTGCCAGCGTGTAGAATCCGTCGTTT